GGAATTGTCAAGTGTGACTAAAAGCAGAGTTTCATCCCAGAGTCCTGTAAGACTGGTTGGTGAACTTGCATAGAAAGGGTTGACTGATAACCCACTCGGTTTGCAGTGACAGCTTTTAACATATGCTTGATAGGAGATGGTTGAATTGACCCTTAGACATAGAAACTCACAGGGCGTACATACTTTGAGGCTGCTCCAGTGCACTGTAATTACCTACACTGAGGCTGCTCCAACATGCGTCAGAGCAGACTCGATTAATCAAGTCTGATGGATCATTTCAGCTTTAGCTAAAGCGCCCCTACTGCCATTTTTCTGTGCAGGGACACTGATACACATGACGCTCTGGGTGTTTTAATTAGAGTGGTTCTTGGAGCCACTCTAAAGCATGCCCTACCTCCCAGACCATGTGTATAAATGCCCTTAATGCCAAATTTACAGCTCTCCTGTTCAGAAGAGGAAAGTCTCCCTTAAAATAGGGATTGTTACTTTGGTGGCTTGGGTAAATGTGTAGCGGTTTGTGCTGCAAACAGTCATGCTCATCGTTTTACACAAAATAACTACTTTGTGATTCAGCTGCTATGTACCTGGGGACTTTTACGTATTCAGGCAAAAGTACACTCTTTAAGCCAAAGCATGTTCTTGCTAGGTTCAAACTCTGTGAAAGCAGGGCCTGTGTAGGTAAACTGCCTGCAAATTTTCACCCTTCTTTAAACTAGACAAAACCTCCCTCTTAAAAAAAACTCCGTCATAAAAAATTAGGCGACTGTGACGTCGATGCTTACGCAGTCAGATGGGTCAGAAATTGGCTGGAGGGCCACACCCAGAGGGTGGTGGTGGACGACCTGGAGGGATGTGGGCAGTGGGGTCCCCCTGGGCTCGGTCCTTGGGGCCGCACTGTTTAACATCTTCATCAGCAGCTTGGACGAGGGGATGCAAAGCACCTTGTTCAAATTTGCGGTTGACACTAAGATGTGGGGAGAGGTGAGCACGCTAGAAGGGAGGGACAGGCTGCAACTAGATCTGGACAGGTTACAGAGGTGGGTGGATGAGAACAGGATGGGTTTCAACACTGACAAGTGCAAGGTGCTGCACCTGGGGAGGAAGAACCAGCAGCAGACCTACAGGCTGGGGAACTCCCTTCTTGTCAGCACAGTGGCAGAAAGAGATCTTGGAGTCATTATCGAGTCCCAAGGTGAACATGGACCACCAATGTGAGGACACGGTCAGTAAGGCTAACCGCTCCTTGTCGTGCATCCACAGATGCATCACGAGCAGGTCCAAGGAGGTGATCCTCCCCCTCTATATGACATTGGTCAGGCCACAGTTGGAGTACTGCGTCCAGTTCTGGTCACCGCGTTTCAGGAGGGATGTGGCCAGCATGGAGAGCCTCCAGAGGAGGGCCACCTGCATGATCAGTGGTCAGCAGGGCAGGTCCTACAAGGAGAGGCTACGGGACCCGAACTTGTTCAGCCTCCACAAGAGAAGGCTGAGAGGGGATCTGGTGGCTGTCTATAAACTGGCCAAGGGAGACCAGCAGGCAATGGGAGAGTCCCTGTTCCCCCAAGCACTACCGGGAGTAACAAGGAATAATGGCCATAAGTTGACTGAGAGTAGATCCAGGCTAGACATCAGGAAGCGCTGCTTCACAGTCAGGGTGGCTAGGATCTGGAACCAACTTCCACGGGAAGTGGTGCTCGCTCCTACCCTGGGGGGTCTTCAAAAGGAGGCTGGATAATCACCTAGCGGGGATCGTTTGACCCCAGTACTCTTTCCTGCCCATGGCAGGGGGTGGGACTTGATGATCTGCTCAGGTCCCTTCTGCCCCTACCAACTATGAAACTCTTCCCCTGATCCCTGCCACAACCATTTCTAAAGCAAAAGAAGTTTTGTATTTTATGTAGCATTTTAAGTGTGGGCTTTCCAAAGGGCTAAGCAGACTTAAGCATGCTTCTTCCTTGGGTTTTCACTACAGGTCTCGGGTAGTACCCAAACTTGTTGCTCATGGTACCTGGGCAGCCCGTATGGTAAAATCCTGATTGGGTGAGTTCTGGTGCCCCTGTGGTTAGGCAGGTACTGGGATTATTTTAGGAGCTTCATGACTTCCTGCTCTATTAGCAGCTGGAACCCAGAAATTGGTTTCTGTAAAGGGTTCTGCATCTCCCCTCCCGGGACTCATGGAGGACTAGGTGGCATCACAGTGATGACTGAGAGTCACTTGAATCACTTGGAGTGTTAACAAAAATAGTCCCAAATTTTGCGTTTTCCTCACAGATTCTATATTGATTTATTCAGAAAGTCATCAGAACCTCAGGCACAATGGTTAGGTCTGAGCTAACATCTGGGAGCTTGGCCCAGGGCGACCAGGGATTATGTGAGCTGTAGCCAGTTGTGCCAGTATGCTGGAATCCTATTGTGCAAAGCAGCCTATACTGTTTCAGGAACCAATTGCTGAACGTACAAATGGGGGTATGTATTTTCTCTTGGGAAGTGGGTTGTAGAGTGCTCTCTTCCATTGTAGGCTTGGTGTTGAAAAGTATATTTTGACAAAATGTGCATTTCTTTTGTGTTTGCTGGTGTAGGAGTGTAGGGGAAAGCTTGAACCAAGCTAATAGGCCTGGGAATGGTTAAACCTTGTAAGAGCTTCACAGTGAAGGGCACTCGTTTGGGACCAGCCGGGTCTGTGATAAATATTCTAAAATAGAATAAAAATCTGTCCTAGCAATGAAAGTAGCAGTGGCGCTTGTCCTTCTTCTCCCTGCAACCAAGCCATGGCAAGTCAGATGCCTCAGCGCATTATAGCCATCATTTGGACCTGTTTTACAATATCTCTCGCCTGTAGATTTCAAATCACTTTCCAGAGAGACCAAGTATTAACCACATTTTACAGATAAGGAGAGTGTCACCCAGTAAGGTGGTGGGGGAGGCCAGGTCTCCTGCATTTCTGTCTGCTAGTCACCTTGCCTCCCATCTCTTATAGATTAAGGCAATGGTCCCACAAGGTTATCCCCATCCCTTCCTTAAGTGCCATTTGGATCCCCTGCTCCCTTCTTTTCCCCTTCCTCTCCTGCCGTTGTCCCTGCTTGTCACACATAGTGGCTGTGCGTGCCAACGGTTGGCCACCCCTGGGTTTTAAGACATTCACCCCAAATGCCTGAGCTGCCCTCTGACCTCTGCTTAGATCCATTAGCTTTGCTGTGCACCCAAAAGGTTGATGGGTCCAAGTTGCTTTAGTTCTGGCAAGGAAAGGAGCCTTTACTGACGACCTGCTGCTTCTGCTCCCTGGTATCGGTGAGGTAGAGGTGGGGCCTTGCTTGTACACTCCCACTTACCCCAACGTTACTACCTTAAAAACACACAAACAAAAAAAGCAAACACTTGCTGTGCTCATCAGCTTGAGTGATTCATGAACCGGTGAAGGCGGCATCGCTGGCGACTTCCTTCAAACCGTATCTGCATCGGCGCAGTAACTATTTAGAAACATTTAAAAACTATTTAGAGCAGGAGCTAAGGAAAATCTTTCTGAGCAGCCAAAGTGTTCCGTTTGCATGCGTCGAGGGACCTGCTGACTGCATAAAAACCACAGGCCAAATGTGGTGACAAGCCTCAAAATAAATTAACCACCATCCTAGTAAAGACCCATCCCGGGCCCTCAATGTCGATACGTTCTCACTGGGTCACACCAACTCCAAGATAACATCTCCAGTCTGGGTGACTCGGCTGGCAAGCATGGTTGCGGTATGCTTGTCTGTGCAAGGGAGCATTGTGACCAGCATCTTGTCTGGCTGGCTTTCGGTTTCTGGGGTGGATGACCAGGTACCCCCTTGCAACTTGGTTGACTGGGGGAGCCTTTGGCATGAGTCCAGAGCAAGGCTCAAATGCATGGCTTTGTACCAGAATACCTTCACCTCTCTGCCCCCATGCCTTCAATCAGGCCAGCTGGGAAATTAAATTTTTGGGGCAAGGGTCTTCCACCCTTTGCCCTGGTGATTAAATCCCAAGGACGGCCATCTCAAGTGCCCCCTTCTCATCTTTGTCTTCGTGACACAACGGAAGAAGCAGTCTCTTAGCTAGCTTGAAATAAATGAGGTGGACTCTCGCTGGAATGGAGTAGGAAGCCAGAGCATCTGTTGAAGAGCTGGTGTAATATGTTATGGGGGGTTAGCCACCGCCTGGGGGGGGGTAATATACCACCTAATGGGGATTTAGTATTAGCTGTAGCAACTACGGGGTCTTGGAACGCTGTTCCTGGAGAGCCCAGGGACTAATCGAATCTGGAAGTCACGATGGCCAGGATTACTGTGGTGAGGCTTGGATTTGCCAGGGGAGATTGCAAGTGTCCAGCTGTTCTGTGCTTCACATGTTGCTTCTGTTGTGCCTTATGCTTGCTGCTTTGCTGCAATTTATACTATTTTTTTTCCTCTCATCCCTGGCCTTGCTCCTAGCACTGAGGTGCACTTTTCCTTCCCAGGCTGTCAGTGTTCCCTTTCCCACCCCCACCAAGAAGCTCAAAGCTCACCCATAGGAAAGCTTTCTAATGCCATCCGTCATGAATATCCATAATCCACTTTTTATTCAGTGTCTCGATGAATTTAAGTCTGCACCGTTGCCCAGATTCTCCCAGCCAAGAGTATCCGGTTAAAAGCATGACTCGTTGGCTGGGTGTACCATGACCCACGATGCCATCACTCATCAGGGGTTCTCAACTGACACGTATCCCCGAAGTTACCACTATGCTTGATAGCGATAGTGTGTGTGGCACGCTAGCCATTGGTCATTGACAACGTGCATCCACAGCCTTGCAGAGCATATAGCATGGTTAATAGCTGGTCTTCCTAATTGTGTAAGGAAATTATTAGGCGAAGCAATACGGTAACCATATAATGTTTTGGAAGGGTGCTGGGTGGCAGTCATAATTTCTGCTGCTACAGTGTGTTGAAAAAGGACAATAAAGTAGGCTCTTTTTGTTGGAAAAGAAGATTTCATGTTATCTGTGTTTGCAGGCTTTCTGGCTCATATGCTGGAGGAATCCTTGCTGCGGGGGTGTTTTCATTTTCTCGTCTAACATGGCAGTGGTCCATTGCGGCAGAGGTTTTTAGCTTAAACAATCTGTTTGTGGGGCTGCTTCTGGCTCTTACTGTACATTTTGAGGAGGCCTCCACTGCAGAAGAGAGAGCAAAGGTAACCTGTTTTGAACAACATGCGCTATTCTTTTGTTTTTGATGTTAACTATTGTATTTGGGTTGTAGATTTTTTTTTCCTTTTAAGTTTGATTTAAATAGAAAGTTCCAGTGTTTTAGAAGTGCTCAGCATCCCTTTTCCGTACAAGCTGCTGAGTGCTGAGCACGTATGAAAACTTGGCTGCTCTAGTGAGGTGCAAAGCTCTTATATCTGGCCCAATAGTCAGGTGTCAAAATGGAAGCTATTAAGTGCTGTTCAGAGAGCAAGGTGGAAGATTTGGTGGAAGTGATTTGGGGTGAAAAATCCCATTTTTGTTGAAACGCTCTGCAGAGAAGTTAGACTTTGCATAGACAATTTTTTGTTTCTAATCTCCCCACCCCACCAAGCCAAGAGGTGATATTTTCTGTGAGAAACAAAGACTGTCTACAGAAGATTTTAATGTAACCAAATTCAGCATTCCACTGAAACATAGATTCAGCGAGGCCTTTTCCCCAGCTCTAGGACTGGGCTTGCATTTCACATTGCATGAGAAGATAATACATTCAAATCATTTTTAAGAACTTGTGTTTTCTTTTTACTTATCCCACGGATATGAAAATAGTCTAGAATTTCTGGAGGAGATTTTTTCTTTTGCCTGAATATTGCTACGAACATTTCCCCCCTCCCTCTTCTGCTTATTACTTAACCCCTGAACTCCACAGCGCTGGGTGCGTCTACACGTGCACTTTGCTGTGCATTAGACTAATGTACAGTAAAGCATCACCATCTATGTGCCGCAATTAGTGCGCAGTAGATTAATTTACTCCGGTGTAGGATAGTCCTGTCAGACGTGGGTACTGTCCTACACCGCACTAAATTACTGCCCCTAAATTCACGTGTGGGACAACAATTTTAGGATTAGTTTACTCTGGCTCAGATTGAGCCAGCGTATATTCAGTCGCATTAATTGCATGTGTAGATGCACCTGCTGTGGCTTAACATTTTCAAAGTTATGGTTTGTAATTTGTGATGGGAATTGCAGCCAGGATGTATGACTTTCCGTTGCTTCAGGTTTTTGGATATCTTTGTACATCTGAAAGTGCTTTGTATTTAAGAGGTACAATTTAAGAGGCTCCTTCTTAAGGAGCCTAATTTTTTTTTCAAAGGCATCTTGATCCTTAGCTTGCTCCAACTGAACAGTCCCTTTTGATTGTCTGGATCCCAAAGGCCTGTTTGAAGGTCTTTGTATGTAGTTGTGAAATGGTGTGATTTTGGTAGTTGGGAAGTCGTATTCAGTGTAAAATGTCAGGCTATCAGTATTTTCCACATCAATATCCTACATCCCAGAGTGAAGGATGAATATTCATGTTTCACATATCTGACACTAACTGGCTAGCAAAGCAAGCAGAGCTCTGGCTACAGTGTCAGCATGAAAGTACCCAAGCAGCAAGAAAACCAAAGGACTTGCCCTGCCAGAGCTGAATGGCAGAAGATATATGGGCAGATCCTCAGCTGATGTAAATTGCTTTGCTCATTTGACTGTAGCAATGGTCTGGGCTTAGGCTGGCGTTCTAGACCATGGGTGTCAAACCTGGCCCGCAGTTCGCTAGACTGACCCCTTGCCCCAGCCCTGTGAGCTGGACTACGAGCAGCACTGGGGGTCAATTGTGGACTCCTCATGCAAAGCTATTGCTATCCCACCTTTGTTTATATTGTCTAGAGATAGTGTAAAAGTTGATGCTATTGATGCTGATTATAAACTTTATTAAAAATGTCTTAAATAGTTTTTATATAAAACATGCAGCATACCCATAAATGCACTAAAATAGTAGCATTTTTTATGACAATATAAAGTGTTTAATACTAGTAGTATAGCTGCATTTCATTATAAGATGACCAGAGATCATATTGATGTTGTTTCCATTGTATGTATATTTTTTCCAGACGTCTAAGAATAATTGCACTTTACTTTCTTCCTTTCAGATATCTAGAGTTGGTGCCTTTTGCTGTGGGCTTAGTTTGTGCAATCAGCACACCATAGTGTTTTACGTGCTGTGCATTGTACCGTGGGTTCTGTTGCAGCTTTTCAAAGAGATGGTAAGTGCCTTAACTACTCCTGACTGAGAATAGTCAAGTAGGTCATTCTTCTAGTGTGTTTTAAGGGCATATTGTAACTCCAAATTATTGCTTTTTCTCTTGATGTTCTTTTTTGTATTGATTTATAATGTATGCGTAGTGATAATCTATGCTGAGAAAGGTTATGATTGAGTTTAGACATCATAAAGTTAGAATCCATTAGTCTGATCTCATAGCTATGGGCTGGTTTTGTTTTTTTTTTTTAAGGACTCGGAAGGTTTCAGTATCATGAGTATTGAAGAGCTGTCCATTTATTCAGTAGACTTCTTGGGGCAGGGTGCCTGTGGAACTGCCCAAAGAACACCTTGTGTACCACAATGAGCGTTACGGGAGTCCTCAGTTGGGTGCATCTATTGTACATGTGAAATTAATGCAACACAATAAATGCTGAAGCAGTTCAAGCCCAAGTAAACTGCTTCCAGGCACAGCATCTATGTGTGCGCTCAGGACAGCAGCAATTTAAACCAGGGCAGAGCAGGCCTGGGCTGGCACCAGGCAGTAGGTGCAGCAAGCCCTTGGCAGGCTGGTCTGACCGGGTGCAATTTATGCCCCCGGTCACAGTCTACACATGCATTTCAGCCCAGTTAATTGCTCTGCCGTAAAGTAGTACCGTCTCTGATAGTACTGTGTTACAGCGGAGTTAATTAGTTTTCTGTGCCCTAATACCGGTGCATGTATAGACTGTGACACTTTACTGCGGAGCTAATTAGTCAGCTCCACAGTAAAGCACGTGTGTAGATGCACCCAGCGTATGGAAATGAGACCATGTTCAATGATCTTCCTCCAAACAAAAAATGTTAAAAAATGCTGGTGGCTGTTGTTCAGTAAAGAGTTACACTTAACAAGCAGTGTGGGCTCCACCTCTCTCAGCTTCTGGCCGGTGTTGGCAGCAATATGCAAATCCAGATCCTTTGAAGCCACAAGACTTGTCTTCATATGGTTAACGGTGGTAGTGAACAAGAACCACATCCCCATTATGTGGGCTCTCTGCAGCTTTGGAAACAACTAGCTGCGTAGGACACATCACTTAAGTGCCTCCAAGTCATTCCTCTCCAAATATCTTCTTCAATATCTGTCTGGCATTGGATGGCGAAGCTGTAAGATGCTATGGAGTCTGGTCATCAGCACACTAACCTCACCATAGTGCGTATCTCAAGGATGTCACAGGATTAGAAGAAATTAGCTTTCAGATGAAGAGGAGCTGGCTCAAACTCAGCCTGAATCAAAGTAAAGCAAGCGAAAGACTGTTTTCTCTTTCCATTAAAGTCTCCAGTTCTCTGTGTGTCGAAGTGATGCGAGTTCACAGTTCTGTCATACTCATCACTAAGTTTAAACAGTTTAGTAGCATCATTGGTGCAAACCATTGTCTTCCTCACCTCCAGCTTGCAAGGAAAATGTGACTTCCTTCTTCAAGATCCAGCTGCAGATCAAACATCCATCATTTCCAAACTGGATTACTGTAACACATGGGCTTTGGCTGGGGCAAATGCAGTGCAAAAGGCATCAGCTTCTGCAAATGTGCCAGCCCATTTTAATATGGTTTAGATTCTGGAGCACATTGCCGTTGTGCTTTTGATCCCTTCAGCAGCTACCAGTCTGTGCCCACTGTTTACTGTTTGACGGGTCGGGCCTCAGTTGTGTCAAAGACCATTTGTTTAATCAGTCTGTGATCCAGTAAAAGGGCTTTGCATCTTTAGGACGGTACAACTTATAAAGCCCCGGGTGAGGTGAATATGAACTGTCATCTAAGTATATTTACCAGAAACAGTCCCTTTTAACCAGAGAAGAGGAGGAAGAGTGCTCCATGGATTCCAGTAGAAGGAATATCATACCGATGTAACGTATCGCAGGAATACTTTTGATATTCCATAGTTGTGCACTTCAGAAAACCATGATAGGCTAGTTTCTCAATTTAATAAAACATCCTCCAAGATAACTTTCATTCTGGAGGGCCTTAAGCCACCAACCTTTAAGCCTATCTTTCTATTTGTGGAAACTGATTTTTGAACATTGTCTCTTCAAGATAAACCCAGGCACTAAAGGAAATAGTGTTGATTGATTGAGAGAGCTGCTAATGACAAACCGAGCGTGAAATAATCTCAGGTAGGATTTGCAAAAGCACTTAAAAGTTATAAACAGAAGTCCCTTTGAAAATCTTGTGTGCCTACCTTCTTCAGGCAGTCTTGAAAATCCCACTCCAAAAGTTATCCTAAGCAATTTAGCCAGTGTAATCATGATAAAGTAAATGGCAGAACCAACTCCTGATCATGGTGATGATGCAAGCTGCTATATTGGAGCAGCATTTTTTGCCAGATGGAATACTAGCCAACTCTTAATCACTGCAAAGTGGGTTATCTCAGCCTTGCAGTGCCTTAGCCATCTATGCATGTCATGACATGATTTAAATGTAAAAGATGCAATGAATATGATACTCATGAGTCCTAGCTAATATTATTTGCTTCACTTAAATTTCACCCTGCCATGCAAAGGAGATCAGTTTGATGCAGTTTCCTCGTAATCCACAAAATCGTAAGGTTTAACATAGCATTTTGTAGGGACTTACTATAAATTGAGAGATCAGCTCTACGTAAATATATTTGATGTTTTTCTTTATCTGTTCTTGAAGTTCCAGCGTGATTAAACTGAAATAAACATTGTTATGCAATCTGACACATTTTTGGTGCAGGAATTGTCCCTAGGCCACTTGCTGAAGTTGGGTTTCTGCTTCTTGGCTGGTTTGCTGCCTTATCTCTATCTGCCCGTTTCATCCTACCTCAATTGTGCACGTTGGACCTGGGGAGACCAGACGACTTTTAAAGGATTTCTGACCCACTTTCTCAGAGAAGAATATGGGACGTTCAATCTGGTAAATGGGGTCACTTTCTAAACTAATAATAGTAGTGTTGAAATAATATGAAAATGAACTCTTTGTATTCATTAAGGTCAACATCCGGCAGGAACAGTGACCGAAAAAGTTGCCTTTTTTTACGTACTAATCTGTGAAGTACAAATGCAGCGGGCTATTGCACCGAGAAATGAAAAATAAGAGGTTACAAAGTATGCTTTTAAATTGCCCTCCTCTGAAGTCAAAATCTTGGGCTTTTCTTTTTTGATTTCAAGCTTTGGCAAAGCATAGGTGTTGAAATGTGTCAAGCTGTTGTCTTTGTTCAGAAGATGTACTTCTCGCGTTGTTCTTGGTATAAATATTAACTCATATTGAAAGAGTTTTCTGGTTCCTGACCTCTTCCCCAATCTGAAACATTTTGACTCCTGAAAATGTAGAGGGTGGCTTGTGTACTCATCAGAGTTTCAGGGGTTGGCCACTCTGCTCCCATTTTGACCTGTAGCAGCACAAATCAAACAGTTGTTTAGCTTCCCTCCCTTGCCTGCCTTCCTCCATCAAAAAAAGAGAGAAGTAGGAAATGCCACCAAAAGGCGGGAGGGGAAAGCTCATGGCATAGCTGGGAAATCTGGTGTTCTGGACCCACAACCGTGCTGTGTAGAAAAGTCAAATGTAAGCACTACCTACATCGCAGAGTTTTGATGCCAGCGCAGTCACACCTATAGCCCTTCATTGCTTCCCGAGCAAAGGGTTTGCTCATTCCTGTTTGAAGCAGTTGATTTCCCAAATCTCCCGAAGAGGTAGGAAGACAGAAGCAGCTTTGAGACTATTTTCAGAGCCGTTCCACTGACAACCATCTTCGGAAAATCAGTTCCCTTTAGGACACCCTAAAATGAAAGCACATCAGTTAGCTAATCACTTCTGAAAATCTTGGCCTGAGATGCCTTTGCTCCTGCCTTCCCTCTCTCCCATCCATGTTGATTTAAAAAGATTAACGGATAGGTCCAGAACCACTGCAGCAAACTCTGTGGCCCGGCAACAACTCTAGTATATGTTTTTGACTTGGGAATTATTCAAAATGTTATATTCCCAGGAGGAAGGGCAGGAGCTTGCTTAGGTGACCACACCTGTAAGCCAAAGCTCTGCGTTCGGACTCCAGCAAAGCTAAAGACTGGCCCCGCCTGCACAGAGAGAAGCTTTCTCTGAAACAGCAGTGTGTAGCCTGGATGTGGAAGTGAGAAATCCATTCTTCAGCATGATTATAGCTGGGCTTCACTCCACCCAGAAATAGGCCCAACGGGCAAGATGCATCCCATCTACCATGCACGTGAAAGTGAGAAGCCCATGTTATGCTAGGACCCAGGGCGCCAGCTGCTCAGGATTTGAAGCTCGCCAGAGGCGAGCAAACAGTTAAGGAATGTGTTTGAGGTCAGGGTTTAACTACCTGCAGGTGAGAGCATAGTCAGGCTGTCACCCAGGTCTCCAGCATCAACAGGAGCACGTGCTGATCTAAGCAGACACAACGAGCACAGCCATTGTCAACTACTGAGTGGGAATCAAGAGGCTCTTTCCTTGCATTATCAGTGCAGATGCTCCTGTGAGCTTGACTGTCTTGTACTTTGGCCTCTATCAGATGATCCACATAAAAGGGATATTGAGTATACAACTGGACAGGAGGGTTGTTGGACTCAAAAATATCCCAGTTGTTATCCAGGGATTTAGGCTATCCCCATAGACCCAATATATACAGTCAATGGGTAAAAGGCAAGGCTCTTTTCCATGGCAAAGAGACCAAAGATTGCTTCCCTATGCCTTTGCATTTCTTCCAGTATTAGGAGGAGCATTTGAAGGCAGCACCTATCATTTCTTTTTCACACAAAATCATCCAGAAACTCTCTGTAGATGTCGGACACTGTGGAAATCACCAAGACCTCTAAAGCACCTTCCCAGTCATTAGGCTGTCCTATACTTAGGAGAAGGGAGATCCCAGGAGATAACCT